GCCTAAACCACCTGATGTAACCATCGCGGTTAAAGACAACGACCCTGAAGTCAAAGAAGAAATGAAGGCCGTCTCCTTTGCAGCAAGCTGTGGAATAAATCCAATCGACAGAATGATTCACTATTTCTCATCGTGGTACCGTTTGAAGAAACACTTTGCTTGGATTTTGAGATATCGTGAAAAGACAAAGATACTGTCAAGTATGCCGAGATTACACCACTTACTACAGAAGAGATACAGAATGCAGAAATAGAAATACTGAAACACATACAACAACAAGAATTCGCGGAAGAAGTGTTCGAAACCTCTACCGCTACAAAGAAATCAAGTCAACTTAGCGGTCTAGACCCAATCAAGGTGTCTGGGTTACTACGTGTGGGTGGACGCCTACGACGTTCTACCGTTGCAGATGAAAGAAAGCATCCTATAATATTGCCCAAACGCCATCATGTAGTAGACCTTATCGTCAGAGAAGCACATTTACAATTAGGACATTCAGGTCAGGAACATGTCCTTGCATTAATCAGAAGTACTTATTGGATTATCAAAGCCGTAGTTTCAATCAGAAGAATACTCAATCAATGCATTCCTTGTAAGAAAAGACAAGCCCCGCTATCTTCTCAGAAAATGGGAGATCTACCTGCAGAGAGATTGACTCCAGACAAACCTCCTTTCAGTGCTGTGGGAGTTGATTGATTTGGCACTTTTTATGTTAAAAGAGGGAGAAGTCAAGTCAAACGATATGGTGCTTTATATACATGCTTAGCTATAAGAGCCATTCATCTAGAAGTATTACACAGTATGGCCACTGACTCGTTTGTCAATTCTCTCATGCGTTTTATAGCAAGAAGAGGCAAACCAGAATCTATCAGATCAGATAACGGAACAAATTTTGTCGCTGGTAACAAAGAAATTGCTCAAGCCATTGAGCAATGGAACAGTCAAAGGATAAGTGAATTTCTGCTACAACGGCAGATCAAATGGTTGTTCAATCCACCAGCGGCATCTCATCAAGGCGCCGTGTGGGAAAGATGTATACGTACATTTCGGAAGGTACTAGATGCTGTCACAAAAGAAGTTCTTGACGATGAAGGGTTCTCTACGCTGTTCTGTGAGGTAGAAAGAATCATCAATAGCAGACCAATCACAAAAACATCTGATGACCCAAAGGACTTGGAACCGCTAACTCCTAATCACATATTGCTGTTAAGATCAGAACTTAGTCTACCCCCTGGTGTCTTCACGAATGACGATGTATATTCCAAAAGGAAATGGAAACAGGTCCAATACCTTGCAGATTTATTCTGGCGTCGATGGATTCAAGAATATCTACCAACTCTTCAGCGACGTCAGAAGTGGCTTAGACCATCCAGGAACTTTTCTGCAAACGATATCATGCTAGTGGTAGATGATCGATTGCCAAGAAGTTCGTGCCCACTAGGTCGAGTAATGGGAGTTCGCAAGAACCTGCGCGACGGACTGGTACGAAGTGTTACTGTTAAGACGAAGATCGTCTTGCTAGAAGCAGTTGAAGTTACAGATCATGCAACATAAAACAAGGAACTTTAGATACACATAGTTTATGTGTTTAATTTTTTGACATTGGACATTCAATCTACCCCATTTGTAAAATYTGTTCATTTTAGGGGCCGGTAATGTAGATTTCATATAAATCATAAGGGTTTTTGGTCACGTGATCTGGTGCGCACCTCGAGCGTTTGCCACCTCTTTTGGACCTGGCAAGAGGTTCAAAAATGCTGTCTCGTAAAATAAATGTCAGATGTTCAAAAAACGTCGTCTCACTGTATTAGCCTAGAAGATATGAAGTCTACGTGGAGGCAGAAACCACAAGCTCCATCAGAGTAATAGAAAGAAGGCTACCTCCTGAAGTGAAAGAGAGTGGTCAAAAATCGTCACAACAAGCTTTCAAAAAACAAACAAATTTTCAACGCTACTTGACTTTTTGATTAATCAAGTGAGCAATGGAGTACGAGTTGTCCAATATAAGCACCAACGCCGTTCAAACAAAGCCCATTGTACACCAAACAGTTAACTACACAGAAAGTGAAAAGGAAAGAACAAAGAAGCCAGATCCAACTTCTAAATTACCATACCGCAAATGTCTAATACATGGTAACAGCAATCACTGGACCGGTCAATGTAAATAGTACATTGTTAAGACGACCGTAGAAAAAAGAGAGGTTATCAAGGAAAAGAAAGCCTGTTGGTCTTGTCTAAAACCTGGACACTCCATCAACGATTGCAAAAGAAAACGACCTTGTGGTGAAAATGGCTGCACTTCAAATGAAATCTCTCTCCAAAAGTGAGTACTGTTTTATATTTGATGGCTACATTCTAAGAGATAAATCATTTTTCTCAGAAAGCCCTTTTAAGAATAAAGTAGACAGTGATGAAAGTAGTGATGAAGAACCAGGGCCAAGTAAGAAAAAAGGCAAGTTTTTTTCAATTATTCCATTTTTGTATTTTGGTGAAAGACCTTTTANGCAGATTGAAATTTTAGAAAAAAACAACCCTGGAAACAGGATTGATAAGCTTCACTGAAGCAGTATAGTGTTCCATTGAACACTTGAACACTTTATATAACATTTTTAAAACATTTTTTTTAACATTTCAAACATCATAATACATGTATAATACTTTCAACTTGATAACATACAACAATATCAATATACACATAATACAAGTCATGTACAATATCAAATGCAAAAAATTTATAAAATGAAAAGTTTACTGCCTGTTCTTCCATTCACTTCTTCTACATTCATTCACACCTTACAAATGAAACAATCATACTCATACTCATAATTCACATCCCATTATTAATTTTTGCATTTGCCACCTGTTTGGGACCTAGATGACATATTTGTTTGGTTCCTTTCACTTAAATTCTTGTTTTGAGATATCTTCTTTATTACTTTCAATCTTCTCCTTAACACCCCACAACCAGCCACCCCCCTCCCCCCAACACGCACCAGTAGACTCCCTCCACTCAAGTGAGCAAACAGCTGTTTATGACGTTGTATTAACTATATCGTAAATAGCTGATACAAATTGCAAGCCTTGTTGCACTATACATAAAGACGAGCAATTCCTAGTGAATATAAAAAGAAAACCTTCCTGGGAAGAATGGTCAATTTCATAGTTTCACAGCTAAACAGTTGAGTGACAGCAAACGTAAAACAGCCACTAAATAATTCATGTACTCACCAACACCACACAAATACAGCCCTGTTTAGTAGCTCAACACTTTGTCGAATCTCTTTTCCAGCTGTCTAGGATGGTGTTCAGCTGGAAATCCAATCAAAACGTGAAGTTTTTCCTCGGCATGTTTACAAACATTGGTCAGTAGCGGTTCACCGTCAAATGTAACCCAGTTTCTGCAAAAATAAAAAAGAAATACTTTGAAAACTGTACCTAAAAGCTTATAGTCGTATACTATAATTTATAAAGATACTTTAAGCAATAATTCTATAGTCTACTAAGATAAACAATGAAAGAAAAGTTGTTTTTCCCCAAGGTGACAGGTTCGCACGTGGAAAGTGAAATCGACACGCAATCGTAGAATTTAAAATGCTCTAAAACTACACTTTTCTGGGAGAAAATTGTAAGGAACAGCATCAAAACGATAGAAAATAGTCTTAAACATATTCCTACTATTTATGGAGTCACATGAGGCTAAACTCACCATGCAAAAAGGCATAATTTGAAGCTTTTCATGCTCCACAACATCCACCATTTTGATTTTGCCGCGTGATATCGCAAGGGATCATGGGGTCACGTGTCTAAAAATTGGACCGGGAGGGAATGAACGCCAAAAGTTGTGCCTTTCAAGACTTTCAAAGGTGCTCATTTATAAAATCCAATGGTGTATTTTGACCGGGCAAGGATTCCATGAACGGGGAGCTGTTTAACCCAAGCATTTTATATATTGCGCACGCGTTGACCGCTACAATAATGGACGAATATGATAAGATATAACATTTGTTAAAATATGATGACATTTTAGTTTCTGCACGGTTTTTCCAATGCCTAAAGGCTGATTTACACGGTACGATTTGTYGCGCGCGACTTGTAGTATACGATTTTCCTACTACACAAGTCGTAGGATTTTAAGCAGTGGTTCAAAACCCTACTACAAGTCGTAGGTTGCGTACGACTGTTGTAGACAAGTCGTAGGGTCATTTACACTGYGCGATTCAAGTCGTATACTACAAGTCACGCGCGATAAATCGTACCGTGTAAATCAGCCTTAAGATGGACGCTGACACTGACCCAACCCTAAAAGGACCTGAATCACTTTTATTTGCGCATATGTCATGATATTTGGATCACGTTTGGCGCACACAGTTATAACTCCTCATAAGACAATGTAAGCTGGTATAAAAGGGGCTAACATAGCGACAAACATTGTCATCAATCTTCGTTGTCATCTCTCTTCATGCCATAAATCGCATAGAACTACCACAATTTTTTCCACTCCCTTCAAATTCATTCGATCGTCCTGCTTCTAAGCACTCTCGTTTTTTGAATCTTTCTTATTGAAGTTTCAAACTACGTTATTTGAGCGACTGATTGGTTAGATGGACTTTCAATCTCTCATTCGAAACTGCTGGTATGAAAGATTTAACATCATCCGTTTAAGCAACTCAGGCCCTTAAACCGAAAGATCGATATTCAATTTTCTAAAAAGCTCACGTCAAACCCAAAAAGATATGATCAGTTAAACTAACCCAAAATCTTGATGTTTTTACAGAATTTCCTTTTGAAGTGTTTTTGTGACTGTGTGGGTGGGGGAAGGGTTACTTTTGACGCAAAAGAGTAGGGACATATCCACAGAAATTAAGATGCATTTAGTTTCAGTACCACTATGGGTACCCCCTGACAGTCATGCACGTTCCATGAGGCATCAGCGTCAAGGAATGAAACTCACTATCGTCGGTACGAGTTTCGAAAAATCAAAACAGAAGCTGAGAGGACATCAAAGACTGTAGTTTGCTTTAGCAATTGAAGCAGTGAATTCCAAATTGAATAGACATTTAAGGAATGGAGAAAGTTCGAGTTAACGTTATTCTTGTTTGGTTTTTCGCTGTTTATACTTGCTGCGCATTTGGTATGTTGATTGATGTCAAGGATCGATGTTATCGCTAGGAAGGAGAGTGAAAATAGCCTTGAGAATATATTTTAATGCATTATGGTAATCTCCATTTACAGGAGCAGCGCCATTGAGGTTGCTGTACAAAACATCCACTCCGTCATCAGTGCAAGGTATTTTACAGATTTTTTACAATGGTCAATGGGGAACAATATGTGATGACTACTGGGACATGACTGACACAAACATAGCATGTAAACAACTTGGCTACAAGAGTTCAGTGAGCTACAAGTACTTAGGACGAGGATCTGGTCCAATTTGGCTTGACCTTGTCAAATGTAATGGTGATGAATCGTCCCTGGATCAGTGCAAACACCGAGGATGGGGTAAACATAACTGCAGGCACACTGAGGATGTTGGTGTTGTGTGCTATGCAGGTATATGAACGTCGTCAGTATAATACGAGAATGTCTGTAAATATCTCTTCGTTAATTCTTTACATCTAGGACCAGCGCCATTGAGGTTACAGCGTAAAACATTCTCTCCTTCATTAGTTCATGGTGTTTTACAGATCTATCACAATGGTCAATGGGGAACGATATGTAATCGCACATGGGAAATGTCTCATACAAGTGTAGCATGTAAACAGCTTGGATTTAAAAGTGCAGAGAATTTCAAGTACTTAGGGCAAGGCACTGGTCCAATTTGGCTCGATAATGTCAAATGTAATGGTGGTGAGTCGTCACTACACCAGTGCCAACACCGAGGATGGGGTGTTCACAGCTGCAGTCACAGCCAGGATGTTGGTATCGTGTGTACTACAGGTAAGAATGCATGTCTCCGCTGCAAAAGTTTGTAATCTGTTATTAAAATTCTATTTATCAATTCATCATATCCCTTTCCAGGAACAGCGCCATTGAGGTTGCTAGGTAAAACATCTTCTCCATCCTTAGTGCAAGGTATTTTACAGATTTATCACAATGGTCAATGGGGAACCATATGTAACGACACATGGGGCTCGAATGAAACAAACGTGGCTTGTAAAGTTCTTGGATACGAGAGAGCAGTCAGGTCTAGGCACTTAGGACAAGGACCTGATCCAATTTGGCTTGGTGGAGCTGTAGATTGTAACAGCGGTGAATCGTCATTAAATCAGTGCCAACACTTAGAATGGGGTAAACAATACTGCACTCACAGCCAGGATGTTGGAATCGTGTGCTATACAGGTATATATGCCACGTCTTGATTGCGCAAGGGAGTGTCTGGGGCGTGGGTGGTGTGAGGATTTAAGGTGGCAGGCCACCTAATAAATATAGAGATAGGAAATGCTGAAAAGGACTCACTCTGAAAAACAACTAATGCAGTGTTCAACTAAGATATATCTATTGGATCATTACAAAATATTTATTTGGTTAGCCACCCCCTTTGTGACGTTCTAGATTCACCACAGGCCGTGAACTTTTAATTTAGAGAAAGAAAAGAACACGTGCGCACCCTTTTATTTGTCGACGCGTGCTATTAGCAATATGCGTTTTACCTGTGGTATTACGCCTCGCGGGATCAAAAACTGGTAATTCTCATTTTGATAAGAGCGGGCGTCGATAAAAAAAGCGTGAGCATTCGTTTTTTTCATTCTCTTCATTTCTCTCAAGCAATAGTTAGGCGGCCTATCGATCCGCCACTGTTGTGATAATTTGTTTAATTATAAATTTAATTTCACCGGTTATGCAAGACCCGTACGGTCTTGGAATAAGATGAATTGCACGAATAATAATCTTATACTGCGATCCTACGGGTCTCGCCCAATCTTAAGTTGCACTTCAGAAATCTCTAATACTGTACATATAACAATGCTTCTCCAAAACCTAAATTGTAAAGCTTACTACAGCCTTACCAAAAGAGGGGTCATAGACTGGCTTATAAAGTAAAATTTTCGAAACATACTATCGGTATGCAGTCACCTTAAGGATATCAGCCATGAAAAGCCCTGGCAGCTTCCCTGAAAGAATGGAACTTAAAAAGATTTATATCAGTGTCAGCTTCACTCATTACAAGACATGTTTAATCCAGTGATCTAGTTATCTAATCCAGGCTGAGTATTCCATAGGCCTCCTGTTTGCGCGCCATTACATGAAGCTCCCAAGGCTAGATTTGAGTCATCTGTTTCGAGTGCAGATCCTCTTGTCTCCTCACAAGCGATTTTCCGTTCCAGGCGATCATGTGATCACTCCACAAAATGTCTTGTAGAGCAGCTTGATCTAGGGAAACCATGTTCTTTTAAAAAGGAGCATTTTTTGTTTTGTTTTGGGAAGTGGTGTTGGGAAGACTGCCTGAATTGATGCAGACAATTTTCCCAAAAGACGAGACAATACCCCGACTGTTACAAGAGGACTGTCTAACAGTCGCTGACATTCCATCTTGATACCTTTTACTTTTACCTCTTTTGGGATACAAAGAGACAATGTTGACGAGTTTAGTAAAACTCCAAGGACTTCCAGTTCCTGTGATGGGTCTAATATTGATTTCTCTCTGTTGATAATAAACCCAGAGACCTGTCAAGAGGTTGGTTGCAAGCAAGGTGTGCTCTGTTGCAATCTAGCTTTGGGCAAGCTGATCACATTATAATAAGAATGTCGTCTAAGTAGATTATCAGCCTTACACTCTTCGTGCGTAAGTGTGCAACTACTGTTTTAGCAGCTTGGTGAATATTCTGGGAGCGTTTCCGAGACCAAAGAGAAGGCAACGAAATTTCCATACCTGGTCTTGCCAAATGAAACGAGGAAGTTTCGATGGTGTGTGAAAATTGGCACACTTAAGAAGGCATCTTTCAGATCTATTTTTGTCAAGAAATCTCCTGGTTGTAACAGGTCTTTTAGCATTGACATACCCTCCATTTTCAAATGTTGGTACTCTAAAAGCTGCATGGTTCAATTTTCTGAGATTGGTAACCGCTCGGTGACCACTTAAAGAATGGTCTTTAAAAATGGTTATGGCCAATGGGTCATAGACGCCTTTTGATGACCCATGGGCTGTAGTGGACAAAAATGGACCTTTTTTGGCCCAGAGGTGTACTCGACACTCGTAAACTTCCCTTTGGTGAACCGGAGAAAACGCCGGCAAACAAACCCTTAAAAGGGTTGCCAACACATTTTTTGTTAACATTGCTAAGAATTGACAGGTTGAATGGTTGATGAAGTCATAGGAGATGAATGTTCGGATTGTATACCTGAAGTTATTACCTTGGGAAAAAACGTCATTTTTCATAGCCTTACCCATAAGGACAAAGGTACTTGGGGGGGGGGGGGGCTCAGCTAAAACAGGGGCTAGTGGTCATTTCATTAACATTGTCTATATTGTGGTAAATTTTTAAAAGCTGTTTGAGCGAAGTTTAATTAATTAAGAAAAAAGGTTTTGTAGTCGATATTTATGAAGAGCAATTTTTATTGTGTTTTATTGATGGGTAACCCCAGATCCGTGAAAGAATCCTAAAAGTACTCGTTTGTACAAAGTATCCGTTAAAGAGACAACGGAATTTTTATAACAAGTTGAACTAATATAGGTACTAAATGATGTTCATGGATGTTTTGCTCTCTGCAGGGGCGGATCTAGCATTTGTACAGACTAGTTTCCAACTAAAAAAATGTTGTATTGACATATGATAATTAATTAAAACATGAATATTTATAACATCGGCCTGAAAAAAAACAAATGTTTGAATAAATGTTAAATGTTTTTTTTGTCTGCAAAATGATKCTAATAAACTAATGAACTAGTTAAGCCGATTCAGCCAACTTGTTAACATACACAAGGGACGGCAATGCGCCGCGGTAGATGACGCTAGCAACCGAATTCCAGAAAATTGTATTTCGAATTTAAATTACCAATTCTTAACTGTGATTAATATGTAACTTATTCGGTTCAAGCGTTTTCATTCTTTTYAAATCAACAGAAATTATTTTCAATACATACCAAGCACGAAGAATGTTCACATGCATGAATCCGAATCTGTTTGGCGAATTCAATGTATACTACAGGAATTTCCTTTGAACAGTTTCACGAGAGGTTTATCCACATTCCGACACAAGAGCAACAGATCTAAACAGTGCTGGTAGTATTTCTGGCCTCGATCTTTTTTCCATTTGCTCAGTTAGTGTTGTTTTAGGGGCCAATTATTTCAAAATCTTTGCTAAACTGAATGGCACGAGGCCTTTGCTATGAAGACAGCATAGCCTTACTAGGGTAGGGTAATCACTGGTTTCTACTGGTTTCCGACTAGTTTCTGGTTAGGTCCTACCCCTCCCTCGTACAAACCAAAGCTCGATTCTGATTGGCTGAAAATAGATTTCGGGTTTCCTGTGTGAACAAGAATTTATCTGGAAACCAGTCGGGATTCCTATGTGAATCAGTGCTACGTCATTTTGCACTAGTGCACTCTCAAGCGATAGTCCGCTGTCTAAGAGCCATTGGGGGACTCTGGGCTCGTGATCGACAGTCTTGTGTCAAACATTTCGATGGGTCCCCTCCCACAAGAACAAAGAAGTTTATATTCCAAGTAGTAAATGTGGGTTTCCTGTGGTACAACTTTCAAAATGGCGGCCAAAGCGATCGTATTGCCATCTACCGGTAAAATACTCCAGTGAATACTCCATATTCTTTTCGTTTATATGATTTTATTTGAAGTATCGCTTTCAACTACATCT